ACCGGCACGAGTTTATTCACGCAGCGGCCCAAAGCCTTTCTGCCCAGAGCGAATACAAATGGGATCTCCTGCTCCCTCGCCATGGCGATGACATTATAAAGAGCCTCGTCCAGACCTCCTACACACACACACACACACACACACATCACAAAATACAGTGAGACAGGGACATCTGGTGTTGTTTTGATCTTTAAACCAAAGATTCACAATGAGACAACCTGAAAGTCTAAGGCCATATTTAGATCACATGGTTCAAGTGATCCGATTCCGATTCTTCCTCCCACGCGGCACAGATCGGATATGACCCACGAACATGTAAGCCGGAAAAAAGGCTGTGGATTCTGATATTCTCCGACTGCTTTCAGGCCTCATTCATATATGGAAATAAATCTGATATGAATGGGATACGTGCACTGGCGTCTGCTATGTAAGCGGACAGATCGGATATTCCCGTCAAGCGAGTCTTTCATCATTGAAAAAGTGACGTGGGCTACTTTTAACACTGTTGCCGCGGGTTACACAGACCTGGCAACCTGTCAGTACATCTACCCTGGTGTTAATTTTGTCCACCGTTTTTCCTGGTGTCAAATGTATTTTTTAGTTATTATTATATTTAGTCAACCTTGTTCTGTTTAGTCAAGTTTTAGCGCATGGTTGCCAGATTGCAAAAATAGGCAAAACACCAGGCGGAAAATGTATCCTTTTAACAGAGAAGCTCTGATTCGCGGACTTGAACGCTTGATATCTGGCAACCGCACACATGAAAGCTGGTGTAGCAGAGCCGTGCACAGCAGTCCGCAATAATGTTTTGTCTCCTTTTTTCGACGAAAATTAAAATAAATTTTGGTATAGTTTTTTATTTTTTAAAATACCAATTTCGTCAGCGATATTGCATGTTGATCTAGTCACAGTTATCATTTATTGACCTTACTGTCTTAGTCATGGGAAAAAAAGCTCGTCAACGAACATTTTTCCTCATACTTTTCGTTAACGAAATGAACACTATTCTACCCTTGATTTTTTTAACCAAGTGTATAGTGTAAATTCAGATATTGGAAATGGGTCACTTGTTAAAGAAGGTGTAAGCTGTCGTCAGAAGGAATCAAGAACTGCAGTGTAAATGCCTCACCTTTGGCCTGGATCTTCTCACAGTTGGGCGAGATGATGACACACTTGATCTTGTGCAGTTTCATGTGTTTGGTGACCTCTCGCAGTCCCATGACCAGCCGCCGCTTGGCTTTGGCTTTGCTGGGCTCCTTCTGATAAACCTGCTCCTGAAATCGAACCAGCTCCTGCAGGAGCAGCGTCACGCTCTCATCGATCTCCTTACTCAACACCTGATTGCAGTACCTGACACACACACACACACACACAGAGAGAGCGCTTTAACAAACTGACTGATGATCCTGATGACCAACATCTGTGTGTTACGGCTGTTTCACAACAGACACAATGTAGAAACATAAGATGAATCAAAGAACTTACATGATAACACATTAAACTTCTTCAGCCTTAGTTTTTATTTCATATAAATATATTTAGGGAAGTTTGTTTCCGCCACTGTATAAAAAAAACAAATTGCGACTTCATATCATGCAATTCTGACTTTATAACTCACAACTGCGAGTTTATATCTCATGAATCTCCGAAAAAAAGTCAGAATTGCGAGATAAAAAGTCAAAGTTTTTTTTTTTAATCCAGTGGCGGAGACAATCTTCCATAGGTATTTGATGCATATTAATGCAAAAGACGATGTGAAAGAGATTTCAAAAATCTAATTTAAGACTTCAAGAACTGCCCAAATAAAATTAATACTGTATGTGTGTTTCCATTCAGAACAAACCCATAAGTAATAAATTAATATACCAGCACATTTGAATCAGAGGTCGATCAATATTGGATATTGGTGATACCTTAATAATGTGTTTAAAGAAAGGCAATAAATAGATTATTGTGCCGATACTCGTAAAATATATATTTTGAATGCAATGTTCTTAGTCTTTCCTTCCTGTGACGGGCGGCCCAGAGAAAAGATACAAGAGATTGATTAAATAAATGCCAGACACACACACACACACACACTCACAGCGTATTGAGCAGCACAGCGGCTCTGCTGTTCCAAACCCACTCACAGCCTGCAGAAGCAGCAGCACAAAGGCCTGTCTGAGATCTACTATGGGCCGCCGTATCAGGCAGAAATCTGCGCCGCTGTTACCTCAGTGACCTCTGACCACTGTGTGTGTGTACTCACTCTCTGAACCTGCGGCTGTGGATCTTGGTGATGGCGGACGCAGCCATGGGGCTCCCGATGCCGGAGCTGGAGGGCGAGCCCTGTGACACGGGTGTGATGCTGTAGGGAGAGTTCTGACTGGCTGGAGACAGAGACGCATCACTGGGCATGCTCAGACCGTTCTCTGCAACACACACACAATCTCACAATATTACTTTATATTTTAAATATTCATATATTTAAGTATACATTTAATATATAAAATAATATAATATAAAAAAAATATATATATATATTTAATGATTCTACAATAAAGTTTAAATTTCAATTTACAGAACAATAGTAAAATTGCAATACAAATATTAATGTGTGTGTGTGTGTGTGTGTGTGTGCGTGTGTGAGAGTGTGTGTGTGTGAGAGAGAGAGAGAGTGTGTGTGTGTGTGAGAGAGTGTGTACCATCCTGCTCCTGTGTGAGCGGGTCTGTGAAGCTCAGAGCTTCTTTCTGCTCGTCGGTTCCAGATACGCTGTTCTCAGCAGAACTCTTGCCCTTCTTCACCTCACGTTCCTGCAGAATGATCTACACACACAGAGGGGGGTTAATGCTGTGTGATGTCATATCCTGTCGTGCTCAGTGCTGCATGTGTGTTTTCTGGAGTACCTTCTTCATGGCGGTGGTCTTCTTGACTTTGGGAATCTCTCTCTCTTTCCCTCTCTTGACGCGGGGCGCGCTGGAGTCCAGGATGTTGTGAGGGGGGGTGTATGTGTTCTTGAGTCCCATCACTCGATCTTTACTGTGCAGCGTGCCCACTGTCCCGACTGACAACAACACAGGTGTTAGATTTTATTTTTATATTTTAAAGGAATAGTTCACCAAAAATGAATATTAACTGAAAATGTGTTAACCCTCAGTTCATCTAAGATGTAGATAAGATTGTTTCTTCTTCAGGTTTGTAGAAATGTAGCATTGCATCAGTGTCTCAGCAATGGATGCTCTGCAGTGAATGGGTGCCATCAGAATGAAGAGTCCAAACAGCTGATAAAAACATCACAATAATCCACAAGTAATCCACAGCACTCCAGC